CAATTCCATCACTTCATATCCCTTAATTAAGTGGATGACAAGTCAAATTTGTCTTCCAATATGAGTAATGAACTCTATACCAAGATTTCATTCAAGAACTCAAAATCTTTAATCTCTCATATATCTTTCATCTTGTTGTTTAAGAACAAATTAAACTTTCTTTAAGCTTAATTATCATCTAGTGATCATAACCCAACCTTTAAATCAACCAATAATCAAGAAATCACAAACTTACCTTTGAGCTTGGAGATACGGGAGGAAGAAGAAGAAGAAGAGAGTTTCCCAGATAACTCTTTCTTTCCCCCCCACGTGTTTCATTCTTATAAAAGGGGAAAAATATCTTTCTTATCAAATGACCAATTTGCCCTTTAATTCATTCAATAATTACCAAACAACCTTCAACTATATTTCCAATAAGTCATTAAACTATTAAACTATTTTACTTTTATCACCAAATTTCAAAAATTCTCATTTTAGTCACTGACTCAGATTTCGGGATGTTACAAAAGAGCTACAGAGCAACAGCTGAGACAACAGCTGATGCAGTGGAACATATTGATGTTGAAGACAATGCATTTATAGATGCATTACTTGAAGAAGGGGGAGTAAGAGATTCTGAATCAAGAGAGGATGTTGGTGCTTCAACTTACAAAAACATCTGATGCTATTGCCTCTACCCCTCCAATGAAAAAAGTAGCTAGCAAGAAAAGGTCTTGAAGTGATGATAGGTTAACCGAGCTTGTACAGGAGATAAGTAAGTTCAGTGCTGCATACCGAGAAACAGCCAAAGAAATTAATATTACTGCTTTATTGAAAAAAGGAGGCAGGAGGAAATGAACGAAGAATGTCAATTTTCACTTAAATCATGAAAATTGAAGGCCTGTCCACTGATTAAATGCTTACTTCACGAGAGTATATTAGAAAAGATGCGCACAAGGTAGATTTCTTCTTTTCTTTGCCAAAAGAATTCAAGCAAGATTATGTGACAATTAGTTGAATGTCGTCAATTTATACCATCATTTTGATTGTTGTCCTTCTACAATTATGTCGATCTCTTTTTGATTATGACTTTAGAATATGGTCCCAACTTTTTTGTGTAGCTTAGCCAAGTATATGTCAATCTTTTGACTTGAAGAATTTTTTGTGTATATAATATAGCCAACATACATGATTAAGTTTAGAATGTCATGGCTATTATCTTTTGTAAGTCTGAACATTGTACAAACTTTTGTAAGTTTTGAATGGGATGCATGGGTGTTGGCTTTAGTATCCTGACATTAATGTTTATATTTTGTTATATGGGAAATTGTTAAGTGTGATTGAAGTTTTTATATATGTGTTGACATTGTAATTTATGAAGGGAATCCCCATTGTTATATATTTTTTTATGCTTCTGAACACTGGCTGATGGCAGTGACACATAGACAGATTAGTTAAAATGGGTATTTCAGTGTAAGCATTGTTAATATAATGCCACCTATTTCTAGTCTAGATCGTCAATTGTTGTTATGAACTCTGTGATGGTTTCTAGTGATCTGATGAAAGGTTGTTGAATTCTTGAAGACGAAAATACATCGATATGAATATTACTATTGTGGTTATTGTATGTATATGCTATTGAAAATGATAATGCTATGAGCAGTATGTCTATTATTAAGTTACTAATGCAATGAATACATATATTATTCCAATGCCATCTAAGATAAAGGGAAATGTTATAGAGTAATGCATGTATCTTAGGGAGCAGATGCATAGTCGCTTCACCTCTTCTAAACTTTATGCATTAGGGGAAATCAATTGGAGAGGCCTCATATCAAATAAAGTCGCTTCACCTCTTCTAAACTTTATGCATTAGGGGATAGTTTCAGTTATGCATCCAGCATTAGGGGATAGTAACAATTATGCATCTGAACTGTTTGCCCTGTAAGTTATTCCTATAAAATATGTTGCCCAAACTCTTTTCCATGACACCAAGTATGCATCTTAGATGTATCTGGGAAAAGTTTGTTTTCTGATTATATTGCTTGTCTGTATCATTGACAAACCTTCTAATTGTGGGGCTGAACTTAGCGTCCATGATTAATAGGGTTTTGTATTAGAAGTATATAGAGATTTGATATGAAAATTGGAACAGGGATTTTGCATGAATTTAAATTTGATGAGATGTTTAACATCTGATGCATTAATGTTCCTTGAAATTGGTGGTTCATTCCTTGGTGTGATTAGTTGTGGATGTCGTGTTTGCTGATCTAATCTTAAATTAAACATATGTGCCTGATAAGAGATTGGAAATCTATACTGTGCATGTGCTAGCTTAAACATATAGGGAAAACAAGTTTGAGAGAACAAATTGTTCCTGCTTTCCAGGTTCCAATTGATTTCTTTGGTCAAAACTTGTCAACATAAATTAAAGATATGCTATAGTGGAATGCAACTGCAGGCATTTATTTGTTTTGCTGAAATTTACTCTATATGTCGAGCAAATAATTACTGATTTTCATGTCAGTTGTTTGTCTGGAATTAGATGGATTAAGCAGTAGTTTCTTCTGAATTTATTTTTCCTGTCTCTTGAATGGTTTCTGTTTCCTTGATTTCATACACCTTGTCATTTTTAAATATGGAGAATGTAAAAGCAGAAGAGATGCCTCATTCAGAATCTGCTTCATTGCCTGTAGATATGGACCATAATTCTGGTGAAGGTCAAACAATTTCAATTAGTAATGGGACAAAACAACCTGAAAGTCATTTGCCGGTGATGGAAAGTTTTAAACCATACTCTTTAAAAAATGCTTTTGATGACCAAATTAGAGGACAAGAACACTAAAACTGATATTTAGATCACTTTTTGGTGCTGATAAGTCTTAGATTCACTCGAAAGAATAATTATATTGTAACCACGACATGACAAAACATGGTAATGAACAAACAAGAAAGAAGAAAAAGCTACAATATGATTTTTAGTGTTATATTTTCTTACTTATTTGAATTATATTTTTGTAATATAAATTCATGAGATAAATAATAATGATAAAGTATGCAGAATTAAGTATAAACATAAAAGATAAATAAATAAATTATTGTATATAGAAGATATAATAAATATTATATCTTAGATAACAAAAATAATTTACATCTTTGTATCATTATGAATATCTATGATAAATTATTGTATATAGAATACTGTAAACCTTGTCGATTGAAAAATACAAGAAACCTCCGAGTGAATGCGTCACGTATGAACCGAAATTAGTTTCCACAATGTAAATATTTAGTTAAATATTGATGTAAAATTTTAATATATTTTTACATAAATTATGTAAAATTTAATATTAATTAAAATTAAAATAATGCATGATATATTTAAATAAACAAGTGATATATTATCAATAGATAGAATTTTTATATAAATAATTTTTATTTAAATATTTAGAATTTCACTTGTTAAAAAATATAGACCAAGAACAATTTGGTAAAATATACATTCCAGTAATCTTTTATTCTTTTCAAACTAACCAAACACAATAATGTAACATTCTCAATAATCCTATTCCCTGGTAATTTTTTATTCCCACTGGTAATCTTACATTCCGTGAACCTGTACCTTTAAGATTTGGGGTTTAATGCATGTGCATGTACTTGCCACTTGTGTTCATGTTCTCCATTTCCTCTTGACATGGTTAATCATGCGATTTGGCAACATACATGCACATGGTTTAGGTCATAACTACTTTTTCTGAACTTTGTTAGAAAGACAAGACAGAGATGAAAGGGTCCACCCGTCTTTCTTAATATATGATCTACCAATTCGAGTGGGTTTTTTTCTTTAAAGTTTTGTGGGTATAACTTGCAACCTTTACAGGTAGGGGGAAGACAGCAGTGCAAACACTGCATAAATAAAGTGAAGAATGTTGCATATTACTATGTAGATGACTTTTAATAAAGTTAAATGTAGGGGGAGTACATTAATGAATGCTTTTTGCCGGTTTAGTTGCCGCCCCATTATCAAATTCAAACCACGGCAAGTCACTTTCTTACTGCCAACTCCTGTGGGTTCCCTAAATTGTCTTAAAAACGGATTAGTAATGCCAGCCAGAGTCTAACAGGATCATTAAATAAAGTTCAATGATAGTTTAGGGCATCAATGCTTTTTAATCATCCAACATCACTGCTGCATCAGATTTCTAACCTTCATTCCTTGCTTCTTCCATTGTCCCATCTTCATTTGCAGTAGCTGGTTTCACTGCTTCAGATTCGTTCGGTGCATCCTCCATCTCAACTTCTGCCCCATCGGCAGGGTGGTGGTTAGGCGTTGAAGAGGACCTAACAGCAGCGCTCTCTGAAACTGCACCCCTGCCAACTACATGCTGCAAGGGAGAAAGAGTATGGCATATGTCGCCACAGATTTCTTCCAAGGAAAGGAGGTTCTTCTTCAAATCAAGGTTTGATTGATTCTCCTCAGGATTTTCCACCAATATCTTGCACATCTGCAAATGGATCAACGAAAGAAAATCAAAACATGATCCTCAGACCTCGCTTGCTACAAATTTCCATTTCTAAGATACTGAATAAATTGCAACATCCTATCCGCTTGATCTAGCGAATTCAAGCCCCTTCAAACACAATCAAGTACCTTGTTGTAATGTTGAGGCAATGCCAGTCGGTCTGCGTCATCATCGCAAGCAGCTGCAGAAATTTCTCCTGATGCTGCACCAGGATAATTCTTGTCATGACCAAAGCAAACTTGGGAACAGCAAATTGATAACACAAGGAACAAACTTTCTAACCAACACAAATAAAGCATATAAAGATGACAGGAGGGTGATAGACCGTCTAAACCACATGAATTTAGCGTCTTGTATATGACAATGGTACTTGCATATGAGAATGATGTCTGATATATTGTACGCAGGTAATAATTCTCACCTGCTTTAATGCTTGAAAGAAATTAAAGCTTACCAATTGCATCTATTGAAGATAACTGGTCAATCACTCTGGAAGGCATCTCTCTTGTGTTTGAATTTGGCATGTCAATAACCCTTTGTCCAATCTCTGGCTCTTCACTTGGCACCTCATTTGCGTTTAATTCCCTCTACAAGCAAAATTATGGACGAAAGCGAGTAGTAAGTCAGCAAGTATCTTAAAGTTCATAACAGATTTAACGTGGTACAAGAAACTATAACAAATGGATTGTCTACAAGATAGTAAACTATGGATTGTCTATTGGAGTAAAAGTTGGACTTAGTCCTTGGTTCATATTATTATAACAAAATATAAGTCAAGGCACCAAACAAAATCATTAAATGTCTCAGTACCTTTTCAAGCGAAAAAAAATGGTGTAATCAATAACAGGTCTCCCATGGATGTTTATGAATGCAATATGGTAACCTTTCTCCCATCTTATTAAAACTAAGTCCAAAACTATAATGCACTAAAAGCTTAAAGCTCATAGTAATTGCCCATGCCATAACTTCTAACCAGGTATTATATCTCAGCCAGACAATGCCCATTTATAATTCATAAAAAACACCTTAGCCAACATCACAACTCCAGTTATGAGTAATTGAACTTACCATCTGTTCTATAGCAAACTCAGCAGTGATCCCTTTTTCCAAAAGAAGCACCCTTTCTTGACATATTCAACCTGCCTTCTCTGCATATCTCTAAAATGATACAAATGGAAGAATCCGGGTACAATTGTGTTTGGTTCGCAGCATCAGCAGCCCCCTGGCCTATCTCACCTCCTATGCCATTCCCAGAGTCATTTCCCCGAGTCTGGTTTCCACTAGATTCAGCATTACTTGCATTAGCACCATACTGCAAATGAGAACGAGCTTGCCCCGGAACAGGAAGATTGATAAAGGGAAGATTCAACTCTTGACAAATGACCTCCTGAATCCTCAAGTCTTTATCATCAACAATAGCCTGCCATCTTCCATATCCGTGCCTAAAAATCAAATAAGGAAATAAGATACAAAATATTCAAATGGCCAATTCCAATCGACTCATAACTGCATACGAGTTGCATCACAGTAGATAAAGCAAGAGTATACTATATAACACATAAAATTGATTGTTGATCACAGCTATCATAAACGTACACAATTGCTACCCAATGATTTCAACAGACGACTTTAATTACCTTGGTACACCAAAAGTTCAATAAAAAAAGGCAGAAGCAACTAGCAATGAAATATAACAGACAAGTCTCATCAAGCTAACCGAAGAAATCAAGGTGCCATTATAGCTTATCATGCAAAAATAAACATATCTGAAGTTAATGTTGGTCAAATGCTTTACTTTTCTTCACACCTAAGAAAATCCTGAAATAAACAGCATGCAAAGTAGACACCATACAGAGAGGTCACTGTGGTTGGCGCATATCCCACCAAACTCCAAAATCAACTAGGTTGGAATAATATTGTAAAGTAACAGTTATCTTTGGCTATAATTTGAGTAGTGTCATAGGCATCAAAGCACCAACTTTCACTAGACTTCAAGAGTACAAAAAAACAGGCCACAATTTGTCAACAGACATTTATTTTTTTTTTGATAGGAATAGGAGGTCTCATTAAAAACCTCCCTCTTAGAGGATCTTACCCATAAGGTAAGACCCAACTAGCGGAAGGAGGAAAAGAGTACCTCAATTTATTAATGAAAGCCAAGTTACATAAGACTTAAAAACACTTTTACAAACAACATAAGACTTCACACACTCCTCTAGCTTCTAAGCTCAGAAACAGACACCAACTGAAACAGACAAAAAAATCACCCGATCCCCTCTTTTGCTAGCTTGTCAGCCTCGCAATTACAAGACCTTGGAATCCACCTTACAATAAAATTTCTAAAAGAAACAATAGATACAATTTCCTTAACAAAATTCGAAAGGGAAATAGGAACCAAAGCTTGATCTTTGATCCAATCCACGACCAGCTTGCAATCACATTCAATAATGAGTCTGCCCTTCAACAACCATTCTGAAGAAACAAAGATATCAATGCCTCTTCTTACAGCTTTCAATTCTGCTAAATAGGGATAAGAAGGACCAACATTTTCTGAAAAAGAGATGAGTGTAACCCGATTCCAATCCCTGAGAAGACCCCCTATTCCAGCCACTCTCCCAACTCTACTACAAGCCCCATCCACATTGAATTTAAAAAAATCAACTGGAGGAGGAAACCACCCGCACCCTGATCTGTGAAGTTCCTTAGGGGCAGAGATACTATCTGCCAAGGAAGGATCACCAATTAAAGAATCCACCTTAATATAGGAAAGAGGATATTTTGCTAGAAACCATCTTGCTAGCCTTAAGCGAACAGTGAAAAACAATGAAAGCTTGTCCAGTTTACCATTATCAAAGATAATATCATTTCTGATTCTCCAAATTGACCATAGCACCACACCCGGAATAAACTTCCAAATAACCGAAGAAGGCCTCAAATCAGACCAAGAACTAAGTAAGGAAGGAGGGTCAAGTGGAAAAGCTAAACTAATACCCCAATAACAAATTAATTTATTCCACAGCTCCCACGAAACCTGACAGAACAAAAAAAGATGCTGGACAGATTCTTCACATAGATTGCAAAAAGGGCAGAGAGTATCCTCCCCTAAAGTAACCCCCCTTTTCATCAATTCCATTCTAACAGCAACTTTTTGATGAGATAGCTGCCAAAGGAAAGTCTCCACTCTAGGAGGGACTAATCCCAGCCAAACACAGTTTCTCCACTGAAATGTATCCTCATAAACAGACTCTAGAGATTTCCTGCACTCTTTGACAGAAAACAGCCCGTCCCCCAAGCCATCCCACAGCAGGCAATCCTCCAAAGATTCAATCAGTTTAATGTCTTTAAGGCTGTTCAATAATTCAACCAACTGCAACACTTCCCAATCACAAAGATTCCTCCTTGTTTTAATATTCCATCCCATCCATTCAAATCAAAACTACCAAAAGCAGCCACATTGCCACCTTTGTTAGTAGAAAGTGCAAAAATCCTAGGAAAAAGTATTTTTAATGGACAATCCCCAAGCCAAGTATCCTTCCAAAAAGAGACAGATTCTCCATTCCCTATTTGAATTTTTGCATGAGATCTAAGGCACCCTCCAATGAAGTCATTCTTTGAGAAGTTATTGACAATTCCCCTCCAAATCCACGAGTCTTTATGAGATAGGGCCTTAGTGATATCCAAGGAATGACAACTCACATTATGTTTACAACAAAAGAATTTCTTCCATATCGAGTCTTTCTCATTTGCAAACTTCCATACCCACTTCCCCAACAACGCTCGATTGGTAAGATTCAAATCAACAACTCCTAAACCTCCACCACTCAACGGCTTACAAATCTTTTTCCAACTAACCCAATGCATTCTCTTTTTCTCACCCCCTCCACCCCAAAGAAAATTCGACGTCAAAGAATTTAACTGTTGAGAAATAGTAGATGGCATCTTGAAAATAGATAGGTAAAAAATGGGTAAAGATGAAAGTACCGACTTATAAGCACCAATCTGCCAGCCATGGATAAAGATGAAGCTTTCCACCCCACCAATTTTCTACTAAAGTTCTCTATGACCGGCTCCCACAACTTCTCTGAATTCTTTTTTGCCCCCAAAGGGAGGCCTAAATAAACTGTCGGGAAAGAGCCAATAGAACAGCCAATATCCCTCGCCCATTCTTCAAGTAAGTCATTCTCCATATTAATACCATAAAGTTTACTTTTGGCTAAATTGAGATGGAGCCCCGTCATTAGGCCAAAAATCCTCAAAACTCTTCTAACATTCTTGATCTGGGTAATAGAGGCTCGACAGAATATAATTAAATCGTCCGCAAACTGAAGGTGTGATAAATTAAAGGAGTTTTGATCATTGCCGAACGAAAACCCTTGAAACAGACCCAAAACCACTGCTTTGAAAGCATCTTGTGAAGCAATTCCCCAACAACATTGAACAGAATAGGAGAGAGGCTACATCCTTGCCTTAATCCTTTATCAATAAGAAATTCTTCTGTAGGGGACCCATTGACTAGGACCGATATAGAAGCTGTGGAAATACATTGTGTGATCCAAGAACACCACCTATCACCAAAACCCATCTCTTTCAATAATCTTATAACAATCTGCCATTCCACTGTGTCATACGCTCTGCTGAAGTCTACTTTAAAGACAACCCCTTTAAGCCCTTGTTTCCTCCAACTGTCAATTCCTTCATTGGCCACACAAACACATTCCAACAATTGTCTCCCCGGAATAAATGCAAATGATTAGGACTGATAATATCTTTGACACAAGAAATAAGTCTCTTTGAAAGCACTTTTGATAGAATTTTATATAGGCTGCCCACAAGACTAATGGGTCTATAGTCTTCTATACTCTCCGGATTACCTTTCTTTGGGATCAAGGTAATAAAAGCGTGGTTAACCCCGTGTACCCACTCCTTTCCTTCAAAGAAATCTGAAACAAACTCCATAATCTGCTCCTTCAAATGATTCCAGTATTCTTATAAAAACCCATGGTAAACCATCCGGACCGGGAGCTTTAGCACTATCAGAAGAAGAAATTGCATTCCACACTTCTTGCTCTGTAAATTCCTCCTCCAGATAAATCCTTTGAACTGCTGATATTTTCATAAAATCAAAATCTAGACCCTCAACCTCAAAAGCCGCTTTTGTGTTGTATGCAGTCCTGAAAAACTCATAAACACTGTTTTTTATCTTAACTGGATCCGAAATTACCACCCCTTCAATTTTCAGAGAATGAATAGTGTTAACACTATTCTTTTCATAGCAGTAAGGTGAAAAAAACCTCGTATTTTTGTCTCCGTTTTTGATCCATCTATTTCTTGAATTCTGCCACCAAATGCTTTCTTCGATCCTTAACAATCTCCACAGCTCATTTTTGAATCAATCAACTGATCCCATTCCCCCTTAGATAACATTCCACCTTGTGACTTTAAATCCAATTCATTTATTTTAACTTCAAGCAGCGAAATGGAGTCTGATAGCCCTAAATGACTGCTGCCAGGCCAATTTCTGATCTTCTTCTTCGCGTTTTGTAACAACCTGAAAATCCCCCCTCTATTCCTCTTCTTCTTCTCATCAACCACACAACCTTCAACCAAATCATCAAACCTTCTCCTCTAACAGAAAATTAAATAGCCTAAAGGGTTTGGGGCCCCAATTGTGACTAACATCCTCCAGCAAGACCGGATTATGATCTGAAATTGATTTTGGTAAAAGGCATTGTGAAATCCTAGGAAAGCTGTTCAAAAATCTGCCACAAATTAGAAATCGATCTAGTCTAACCCATGTTGACAACTCTCTATTACTGCACCAGGTGAAAGTTCCTCCTGACATAGGCAGATCCATAAGGTTAGCTTGTTGTATAAATGATCTAAGAGTTTCAATAGCATGCCAATTTTGTGATCTCCCTTGCTTTTCTTCCGGAACAAGATACACATTGAAATCACCCCCAATACAAACTGGCAAATTCGTCAAACTAACATAACTCAGCAGCTCCCCAAAGAATTCCTCCTTATCAGCTTCAATAACAGGTCCATAGACATTAATGAAGACAAACTCCTTTTGGCCATTCAAAAAATTCCCCACTAATGCTATAAACCTACTATGAACATGCTGGATAGTGACATTGAAAACGTTTTCATTCCACATACTAATCAAACCACCCTTAGACCCCTGTGCAGGAGAAACCACCACTCCCTTCAGCAAATTTCCTCCAATCCTCCTTAAGATCGACGCATGACACTGGTCAAGTTTAGATTCTTGAATAAAAATCATAACAGGTTTTAACTTCTTAACTTGCCTTGCCACTGCTAAAGATTTTTCCTTCCTCCCTAAACCTCTAATGTTCCAAGTAAGGATACTAAATTTCTGCATATACTGACTTCAAAACCAAACACCAAAAATATACCCTGCAAACCAGCATATCACCTTCCCTTTCCTACCTCCAAACCCTTTTCAAGACTCACAATTTTATCAATAAAAGCCTTCCTCCCTTCCTTAAAAGAAATACCTAACATCTGACACACTTCCCATGTGGCCATTGCTTCCTCTACCAGCTTCGAGAAAAGAGATGAAGAAGCAGTAGAAATATTCACCATTTCCAAAGCTTCACTGATTAGAGCTCTTCTCTTCCTTCTTTTATTAAATCGAGACCCTGAAGCAGTGTAAGGAGCTGCTGCCAGACTCTCTGAATGATTACTGCCAATTAATGGGACATTCGGAGTCTTCGGAACATCTAATGAACAATTGATATCCTCTTCCTGACCAATTCCCCTATATTCTGAAAAATTCTGCTGAAAATATCTGCTTTCATTTGCCTTCTGTCCTTGATTCAGATTAACCTGAACAAAATAATTCTGTTTCGTTATTTGCATCTAACCAATTCGTCTATTTCTTGACCTTCTATAGACTCTAGCATATCGACCTCTTTCTCCTACCACCGGGTGCACTTCTAATTGACAGACAAGCATAATTTGAATGTCCCATTTTCCAACTTTTAGAGCTCTTCATAAATCCTCCATTATTATCCTCCTGCATGAAACTTCCTTCTGCTATCTTACCACGAGCAGAAATTTCATCACCCTGGCCTTCCCCATTATCCTCTTCTGGAATATTGCAACTATCATCCTCCATTAAATCATAAAGAGACTGGAACTTATTTTGTTTATCCAGCCCATCCCACTTAATTTTAACAGCAGGCCCAACAGGAATTATTTTAGAGACTGGAGAAGATGATTCCCCATTAGAATCAGATTGGGCTGGATGTAACTGATCCACTTCCTTTCGCAGCCCTAGCCCCGCAAAATCTCTATAGGAATTAGACTCAAATTCAAATTCAAAATTTTCTGACAACCCATTAATGATAGGTTTCGTGTGGGACTTATGTTTCAGAGATTGTTCCCCGCCACCTTTTAACCTCCCACTTTCTTGACCCTGCTGTAACCACGTGTCCACCTTTGACCCTACTTCCTCTGCTGACTTCTCCCACTTGTCTTCTTCCTTCTCTGAGTTGACTCCTTCATCCTCCTTCGAAAAATCATCACTACTCCCATCATCAAAATACTTCTACAGCTCCTCTCCGATTCCAGCTTGGAAATTGTTGCACTTCTGTCCCGTATTTATTATGACTTTAAAAGATCTTCCATATGACCCTACATAAGTATATTCGGGTATATCAAAAGGACTTGCTACCCTTAACAGTAATCTCGCTGAAGAAAGATCATCTCTATTCCTTGTCTCCTCCATGATACTCACAAGCTCTCCCCACATTCCTGCAAGTTTCTCCAGAAAAGGTGCAGACCAACTAAGAAATGGTAGCCCCACCAACTCTACCAAGCAGTACGCCAGTGGAACTCCTTCTTCGTTTAACAATGGAGATAACCACTTAAACCAGAGGAACAACTTCTCTCTACTGGACGACCAAGCCTTTAAGAAATCTTCATTAGAACTGAATATAACGATACAAGCATTCTTAACATAACCCCAGCTTACTATTTGACCTCATAACCCTCCTTCGCCAGGGCCTTTTTCACCATATCAGATGACGGGGATATTTCAAAACCCCCGTTAAAGAATTCTTCACCCAACTTGAATCTTCAGAAGGAATGTGCATATCCCATACGTTCCTTAGCCCATTTGCTTTCAAATTTTGTCCTCCCTTAATTCCCGCTCTATCGTGCTCCGCTCTTACCTCTACATTCACCACCTCCTTATACGTTCTGCCATCCCTCGGGCTGCTCGGCTTTCCCATTACCACCTGCTGCCTACCTTCCTCCCCTCGCACATGCTTGTTGCCTTTCACCTGGAACTTTTTGTCATCAGTTGCTCTTCTCCTTTCCTTCTGATACTTTGCAACCCCCACTGAGACTCTCTTCCCATCTATCAGCGTTCCATTGACGTTCTGAATCGCTCTTCTACAACCTTCCTCCATCGCATATTGCACAAAGGCAAACGTTGATGACTTATAATTTGGTTTCACCATAAAACTTGGAATATAGACCCTTAAAACACGACCATAAATATCGAAGATCTCTCTTAACTCTCTTCTAGTAACTCTCTTACTAAGATTGTCTACGAAAACAGTCCATTCTTTATCGGAAGAAGAACGACCTGTCACCCGCTCTCTACTTCTCTCTCTACCTTTCTCACTCATGTCTCTCCTATTAGAGACACCTTTGAAAAAATATCGAGTCAAAAACATCAATTTTCCAATAACCCAGACCAATATTTCAATAACTACAATAAAAAAAGAAAAACAAAAAACATTGGAAAAATAAGTGCAGCCATTAGTGTATGTCCAACAAATTCAGCGATACTTACTTTAGAACAGCACCCAGTAACAACAAATCGTGTTCCTCTTTCCAAAATTTCCCACCCTTCAATGCTGGATGGCGCATGATAATGTCATTGGTAAAAAGAGGGGTTCCAGGCTGTTCTGAGGCAGTCTTAACCTGTTTTTTCAAACATAGACATAACAAGACGATATATAATATTCCAATGGACCAATCTCACAGGTAATTTAACTAAAATCACTTTCAATTCTCCCATATTGTTTTGGTTGCACAAAACACTAACTCTGAAGTATCCTTCAGAAACGCACAAGGATAGTTTAAAATTAAGATGATGTAAACCAATTTTCTGTCCAAGCAGAATCAAGCTCCAAGAATCCAAATTGGCAAGCTTACCTTCTTACTTAGTAAAAGCAGAACAGATATCCTCACTAGTACATCTGGAATTCTGAGACCTTCTTTGGGAACACCATCTACAGCCAAATATATATATTGCAGATGTCAAACAGGGAAGAGACAAAATTGAAGGTAAAGTACTAAAAAAAATTAAAAAAAATTTAATGCTCTGCAGCATTGATCAATCACCTGAAAATGTTGGAGAGTCGGTCAACTCTTCAGCAATATGAGTCAAGAAAAGAAACCCATATCTGAAAATAATATAGAGAAAAAGGACCATAAATGAATACTTTCTATTCTCATGCTCTCAACATGCAATAAAAGTACAGCTGGAAAGAAATCTGAACAAGCAAATTGCAATAATGGACTTAAAAAACTGATCAAATGTTCTTGAACCAAGCATTAGAAGAGAAAGAGGTCAAGAAAGCATAAACTGCATTCATGCTAGCACAAATTCAGAAAACCACCCATTGTAAAGCACACCAAAGTGCAGGAAATTAAGTATTCCCAAACCATATTTTAGACGAACTCCAATGACACACATATCATTCAAACCATTAAAAATAACACGTAAATGAGAATTAACCATTAAATGTTTAAAACAGCTATAATATACATATCTGACAAGAAAACAAAATAAGAATAAAGCCACTCTGCATACTCTCTTATTTCTTCATAAGACTTCTGTTTCAAACGAGGTGTAAACTCCTTCCAGTCATAGTCCCCAACCCCAAACCTGATGCAATAAAATAATCATGATCAAAATAACACGATGACGCTTGGAATATTAAAGGAAAGTAATACATTCACCCACATAAAGAAAGGGAGAGGAAATTATCTCCATTAATAACGCAAAATAATATGGAAAGACTAACCTCATCAAAATCTGAACACAATGCAGCCCTCTGACTCTGATTGAAACCAAGCACCCTAAATGACTTTCCTTCACCTTCCATTAGAGGAATTGGCTCCGTACTATCCACTGCAATGATTAGAAGTTGGAGAAATCATGACTGCTGTATGAATAAATAATGGCCATCAAAGCATCAACACCCTTTGAGGACAGACAAAACATACCACGATTTCTCTTCCTGTAAGGCCTTCTACCAGATTGAGTTCCAGATGAAGTTGTATCACCATCAGTCAGTTCAGCTTCAAAGTTATCATCCTCGCCATCAGAGCTTACACCTTCCAAACCAGCAAGGTCATCATCCTCGACAGAGACCATCTATAGAAATTAGGGTTGTAGTCTTAGCAAAAAGAGAATAGAAAACAAATCTTCCCAAGATAAAGCTAGGAAATCAATAAGTATCGCAACAACATTAGTAACCAAAAAATCAATAAGCAGAGTGGGGCTAAGTCATCAACTCCTGAGACACCTCAAATAAATCAATATCTGACTCAATCAAATTGTGAGCTTTGCCATTATGCCATAATACATACCTGCTTACGGCTTCTCTTTCCTTTTCCTAGAGCATGAACTCCTCACCTTTTGAACTTCGTATTTGTCTCGTAACAACTCTTCCCAGTAACTTGCTCTTTCAGAATTGTTCATGGTATTGTTATTCTCCATGGTCACTTTTTGAATTTCTTCCTCTGCAACAGCTTCTTCCTCTTCCTTATATTCAAAATTAGCTACCTGCAGCAAACACCAGCGGTTCTTTTTCTTTAGTAAACCGAAAGACACTGAAATATGAAAGAGTCTGAAAAGGAGAGACTGCGTGATTCAACAAATTTGCAACATCAACCATTACATGGTAAGGTTCTGTAGTTGGCAGTCCAAGAAAGCCAATTGAATAATGATAGGTCAGACTTGCTCAGAACATTACCATTTCAGACTTATACCTACCACTGTTTTAAATGTCATTCATTGAAAATCACGAAAAGTGGATATGCTACATCCCAAATACATCCAAACCAGGTGTACATCCAATTCTTATCAATAAACAGTATACAAAGAACAAACAAAACGACCCAATGATAATGTCAGCTCCAATTTTTCCATTGGAACAGATTTCATTAAATCACCAATTCATGTAACTGACCTTCAAAATTCTATTTCCCTTTTAAAATGTTTGATTTCTAAAATACAGGCAAGAGCAGTATGTAATGCAAATATTGGTAGATGGTTGCTCTAGCATAACTGGACCCATGGAGAAAAAATGAGCCTTACATATATGGCACAGGCTAAGGCATAGCATGTTGCAGTTGCCTGTAATTGAGAAACCCAACCTTCGAAAAGGGCAATAAAATTTTGACAGATAGCTGCCCTAAAGTAACTTTTTTTTTTGATAGGAATGGAAGGCCTCGTTAAAAACCCCCTTCTTGATTAAAGGAACTTAGTGGTAAGCTCCTTAATCAGCGGAAGGAGGAAAAGAGTGCCTTAAAAACTTTATTGATAATATAATCTTACATAAGATTTAAACACTACACCACAATACATCCCATAAAACTTAACAACAATTTTCTAATAGACCTTCTCGCTGGACCAAAAAATCCAGTGACAGGTCCTTACAGTCAACCTATCCCTTTCTTAGCTAAGCTATCAGCCTCCCCATTGCTCGCTCTTGGAATCCACCTCACTGAATGAACCTTGCCATTTGAAAGAGTCAAAATCTGATTAACCAAAGACAAGTAGAAAACAGGAGCCAAAGCCGGTGATTTAATCCATTCCACTACCGACTTGCAATCACTCTCAACAATCATCTCCCAACAGAAACCCAAACTGAAGCCAGAAAAATTTCAATACCCCTTTTAATAGCCTTTAATTCAGCTAGCGGAGGAGTAACTTGGTCTACTTTCTCTGAAAAGTCAAAGCGTGCAACACTCTGAATCTCTCAATATACCTCCTATACCTCCACCCGAGCCTCCAAGCCTAACAGCTCCATCAACGTTCATCTTAAAAATCACAGGGGGGAATCCAACGCAGATTATGACCAACTTTGACTAAGTAGAGAAAACCCATCTGCTAGAGATGGATTACCAATCAGCAAATCCTCCTGAATATTAACCGTAGGAAACTTGGCTAAAACCATTTGATAGCCTGAATCTAACTGTAAAGAACAGAGACATGCTGTACAGTTAGAACCTTCGAACACTATAGCATTCCTGGCTTTCCAGATTGACCAAAGAACACCTGGAATAAACTTCCATATCGTCGAGTTTCCCCTCAACTCACCCCAGGAACTAAGCAAAGCAGGGTCTTGGGAAGAACAAACGAAATATCCCAAAGCTAGCTATTTTATTCCAAATTCCAACACAATACAGGAAATAAATAAGTGTTGAACTGTTTCCTCCTGAATCTTGCAGAAAGGACACTGTATCTTCCCCTAAAGAAACTCTCTCTTAACCAACTCAGCCTTAACTGCCAATTCTGATGTGCAAGTTGCCATAGAAAAGCTTCCACTCGGTGGAGCAAACCCTTCCAAACTCCTTGTAGCCACACATCATTACTCCCTACCTCCGAGCCAATGTTTTTCTGCATGATTTAACGAAAACAGTCCATCTCCACTAGCAGACCAAAAGAAGTCCTCCACCAGCTCTGACAATTTGACATCCTTTATTTTTGTCATCAAAGCTAACCACTGGTCCATTCCCAATCACTCAGATTCCTTCTAGTTTGGACATTCCACTCCCAACCACTCGGTCCATAGCTGCCAAACTCAACAATCTCCCCCCCTTTATTAATGGAAAGCACATAGATTCTAGGAAAATTATTTTAGAGGGACCTCATCAGCCCAAACATCATTCCAAAAAGAAATTGATTCCATTACCTACTGCAGCTTCGAATTCAATCTAAGAAAGTTCCCTACCGAATCATTCTTAGAAAATTATTAGCAATGCCTCTCAAGATCCATGAGATTTCGGAGAAGTAACCTTTCCAATAGACATAGTGTTCAACTGATCTTTTGCTTACTACAACACAGATTTCCAGAGAGAGTTTTTGTCATGGCAAATTTCACACCCACTTGCCTAGTAAGCCGGTTAGTAAGAAATCAAGGACCCTAGTCCACACAGTTCAAAGGCCTGCAAATCGTGTTCCAATTTACCCATGAATCCTCCGCTTATCCCCCTTCTCACCCCAAAGAAGTTAGCCATTAAGGATTAAGCTTCTTTCCGATATTGCACGCATTTTGAAAGAGATAGAAAGAAATCGGCAAAGAGGTTAGCACGACTTCAACAGAACTGTCCTCCCAGCCAAACAGACAGACCTTTCCACCCCGCAAGTTTGGAACTAAAATTCTTAAAGACCGGATCCCATAGAGCCTCTGTGTTTTTCCTAGCTCCCAAGGAAGTCCCAAGTATTCTGTAGGTAGAAACCAACTGAACAACCCACTTGTTCTGCCCAATCCGATAACACTCCCTCTTCCAAATTGATACCGAACAGCTTACTCTTTGCTAATTGAGGTGTAAACCTGTCATAATGCTAAAGATCCTCAGCACCCTTTTTACATTCTTGATCTGATAAGGCTTGACAAAAAATTATTAAATCATCAGCGAATTGTAGATGGGACCCTGGTAGAATTTCAGAATTCCCCATAATAATACCCTGGAATAACCCCTCTCGATTGCTTTAGAAAGCATCAAGTGTAGCATCTCGCCTATAATGTTGAACAAAAGTGGAGAAAGACTGCAGCCTTGTCTAAGACCTTTTTCCATTGCAACTCCTCAGAAGGTGACCCGTTAACAAGAATCGAAATAGAAGCTGTACAGACATTGAGTAATCCACGATGACCATCTGTTCCAAATCCATTTCTTTCATTGCTCTAACAAAATAGGCCATCCACAGTGTCGTATGCTCTTCGGAAGTCACTTTAAAAACTACCCCTTGTAGTCCTTGTTTCTCCAGAAATCAATACCTTCGTTCGCAATGAAGGCGCAATCCAATAACTGTCTCCCGGAATAAAAGCAAATTGGGATTGACTTATTATGTCGCCAACACAGCCACTCAACCTTTTAGATAATACTTTTGAGAGAATCTTGTATAAACTACCTACAAGGCTGATTGGTCTAAAATCCTCCACACTTTCCGGATTAGTCTTCTTCGGAATGAGTGTAATAAACGCGTGATTAACTCCGTGTTCCTTTTCTACCTATGTAAAAATCCTGGAAAAACTTCAATACATGTTCCTTTAAACCCGACCACATTTCTTGAAGAAGCCATGGTAAAGCATCTGGTCCTGGTGCTTTAGACTATCCGAAGAAGCTATCGCTTGCCATATTTCTTGTTCCGTGAACTGCTCCTCAGTTTTAAAGATTGGAACCCTGATAGCATAGCAAACTCCAGGATAATCCTCTACACCCAGCGTTGACATAGAACTATAGATTCCTTAAAAAGCCCGCATATGCAACTTAATAGATCGGATCTGCAACTTCAAACCATTGATCTTCAAACTATTTTCATTTCTCCTACTCTGTTTAGCATAATGATCTAGTGCTATCCCCATCTTTAATCCAGCTTGATTTTGGAACCAGATCTTCTTCGATCCTATACAACTCAAATCCATTGAACTTCTGCCCCCAGTCTGTTGGAGAGTCCAGCTGAGCTTTAAAACATCAGGATGATTAACTATATCCTCAACCCTTTTTCCTCTAGAAGATAGTTAAAAAATCTGAATGGTTTGGGGCCCCAATCAACAGTTTTTTCCTCCAAACAAACGGATTATGATCAGATAAGACCTCGGTAACAGGCTTTGCAGAACATTAGGAAAACTATCAGAAAATCCCCAGAAATTAGGAACCTATCCAAGACCCAGTAGAGGCTTCTCTATTATTACACGAAGTGAACCTTCCCCCAACCATAGGTAGATCGATTAAATAGTATGATTAAGGAAATTTCTTAGAATAGCTATAGAAAACCAATTCTGGGACATTCCTATCTTCTCTGTCGGATCAAATACACATTAAAATCACCCCAATGCAAACTGATCTGTTTGAGCAGTGACAAATTCAGCAATTCCCTGAAAAAATCCTCCTTTTCAGCATCAATACTTGGACCATATACATTAATAATCACATTTATCACATGAATCTTAAAACTTCCAAAGACAGCTATGAATCTGATGCTTAAATGTCTATTTGTAACTTCAAATCCTTATCATTCCACAACACCATTAATCTCCTGCAGACCCACAGCTGGAATGACAATCCAACTATTAGAATACTTCCACCTATCCTTCTCCTAATAGCCTGAGAACATTTTTCCAGCTTTGTTTCTTGAATGAGAAGAATGCCTGGTTTATAATTCCTGACCATAGTAGCTACGACTCTAGATTTTTCCTTTTTTCGGATACCCTTATGTTCCAAGAAATAATCTTCATCTTTACCATGTATATATCTATGGAAACAAAACCTCAAAGCAAAGCAGCCGAGAGATCCCTACTCCCCCGGAACCACCCCTTCCCCACGATCAGCCAAACCTTTCTCCATATTAATTATTTTATCCAAAAAGGCCTTCTTCCCCTCTTTGAATGAGATCCCAAGCAATTTACTGACTTCCCATGTAGCCAGCGCTTCTTCTAAAATAAGGAAAAATTTGGAGAATACACAGTAGGGATACTAGCCACGTCCAGTGCTTCCCTAATCAGTATCCTTTTCTTCTTCTAATACCAATCCTTGCTTTTGATCCAGGCTTATTCCCTTTAACACCCTCACCATCTCCTCGGGGAAGCTGTGACCGAACTACATCCGAATTCTGACTAGAACCATCATCATCTTGGGTCCCAATCGGGCTTCTCCCCGATATATTAGTAATAGGTAAAATACTCGAGGTAGGAATATTCTAGACCTATTGTGATCAGACACCTCCAGTGGAAACATTGACCCTTTTCTCTGCATGGATTAAACCACACCTTTCTTTCTCTGGATCTTCTACACTCTGGATACAGGCCCTCTCTTCCACCCTCCCAAATGCAGACCTAGACAGGTGATTGAAAGGACTCCAGCTACTAAGGCCAATAGTATGAGGCTCCTTATAACATCCACTCCCTTGATTCCTGCCCATGTGAATCGACTTTTCTTCCTAACCTCTCCTCTATACCTTCCTCACTACTAGCTTCTTTGTTCAGGAATGTTCCTCCATCAATCAAACCTCATTGGACTTGTTAGGATCTTCTCTATGTACTGGTTGTATCCTAACGACGACCCCACCAGGAATTGGATTTGGGAATAGATAAGAAGGATCATTAGCCGTTTTTTGCACATTTGATTTATCCGAACCCCAAATTGGTTAGATTAACCCCAGGCCCAATAAAAGAAAATGGGTTGTCCTCACTCGAGTCCACAGATTGGGCTGCCACACTTTCAACTATAAAATCATCTCTTAAACCAAGACCTCGATAATCCCCTTTTAAATTCAATCCCATCTGGTCTGACATCATAGCACCACTAGTTTGACCTTGTAGTTCCTGCGACAATAAATGCTCTTCCCCTTTGCCGCCTACCATAGATGTACAGTTTTCCCCTACCACCATCTGACATCTGTATCCCTAGAATCCTTAGCTATCAAATCCAGATTACCAACTCCGACTGAATGGTTATCATCTTCCTCCTCTGGTTGAGCGTCGTTACTGTACACACCATCTCCGGCCACCATAGATTTTTTTACTGCAAAGCTTTCCTGTTTGATACTAACCGATCCCAAATTAATTTTAACCTTGAAAGAACGCCCATACGAACCCATATTAACAAATTCCTGTATGTCGAACGGACTGGCCACCTTCAGTAGAGCTCTTGCCACCGCCATATCCTCCCTTTTGATTGTCGACTCATGAATACAGACCAGCTTCCCCCACTTTGAAAGTAACTTTCCAAGAAAGATTCGTTCCAACATAATAAAGGAATTCCAACCAATTCAACTGAGCAAAAAGCCAACAACACCTTCTTCGCTCATAAGCGGATCAAGCCAATCAAACCAAAACAACAGTTCCTCCCTCTGCTCGTCCTTGCCTTTTCTAATTCTTCCACTGAGTCGAAAGTTAGATACAAGAGTTCCATGTATAGCCCCATTTAGCTCCCCTGACTATGATTCCATCGCTAGCCAGCCCCTTCTCCACTAATTCCAAATCAAACTGGGATTTAATAATTCCAGTCAATGATTTTAACCCAATCATACTCATCTAATGGGATATGCATCTCCCATACATTCCTCAGTCCTTCTTTCTCTCCTGGACGACCCTCCTTAAACTCTTTGTTCCCCTGAACTTCCCTTTGCTCATCATAAGAGACCAGCGCATCCTTATATGTTCTCTCATCCCTCAATTTACTGATCGACACTGACCTTGGTCTTCTTCTCGAAGTCGTTCCTATTTTCAATTTACCTTCTACTCTTCTGACATCTCTATCCTCTTGCCTGGACCTCTGCTTTGGTACTTAGCTACACCAACTGAGACTTTCTTACCATCTATCCAAATACCATTCACATTTGCTATCGCTTTCATCAACCCATCTTCCTCAAACTAAACGAAAGCGAACGTGTAGTTTCTATATTTCTGCTTGGTGGAGCTACTCGGAATGTAGACCCTAATAACGCTACCATGTTGTTGAAAGATTTCCTTTAGTGTTCGCCAAGTTACCCTCTTACTCAGAAAGTTGACAAACGCCGTCCATTCCTCACCGGAGGACTGGCCGCCTATGGCACTCTCTCTCTCTCTCCCTTTCTCTCTGACACTCTCTTTCATTGCCATTTTTTTAAATTTATGTTGCTGCCCTAAAGTAACTGGACCCATGGAGAAATAAATAGCCTTACATATATGGCACAGAGTCAGACTATCATGAGGTGCCGATTAATTCCCAAAGTAAAATATCTTGGACAAATAATAGGCAAGTCTCATCACTCAAATCCACCACTGAAACCCTCAAGAGCCCAGTAAACTATCACTGCACTGAATAATTCTATTAGTCTAGATATTATGCTTAACAAAATGCCATAAAAGGCAGAGTCCATAATCACTAGATTTTGGCACTCCAAAAAAATCAGACCAATATGCCAAGGATGCACACAGGTAAGAACTATTTCTTCCAAAAAAAAAAATGCTTACTTTAAATGTGCTAAATTTGGATTTTAATGATGAGAATTCCGGGGAAGAAAATCAATTAACATGTATCAGGTCATATTTGTGTCAAGCCTAAATTTGGTAATTCAAGAAGTGAATAATTGCAAGCCATATTAGTTCATCAGCCAGTAAAAAATAATACAAAGAAATTAAGATTTAAAAATAAACCAAACCTTGAAAGCCTTCAAAATCCATCTTCCTCTTCATCATCCTGAAGCCTCTTCATCACCAACTTGATCACGATCAAGTAATCTAAAAAAGGGGAAAATAAAACCGAGAAATTAACTTTAAATCGGCAGAGGCCATCAATCAAGATGTAGCAACAATATTGAATAATGGATTACCTATCAATAGCAGCAGCATCATAATGAATTTGGCGGGACTTTCCTGATTCATCATTTTCATCAGCAAATAGTTCCTTCGAGCCATATCTGATGATGTCATCTAACTCTTCCTAAAGTAAATAATAACAAATTAAAAATCCAGCTACATGATGGTAACTCTTTCTTTCTGGAGAGGAAGCAAGATCTGACAATAAACTCAATGCTAACCCAACATCTCCCAATAGACACCAAAAAAAAATTACAATTCCATTCAATAGAATGTGCATGAGAAAGAGAGGGTTGGAATTTCAAGAATTCACAACACACTATATTGGTTTATTGACACTACATAGACAATTAGCAAGGACAAATGCATTTCCAAATTGGTTGGGATATCCCAAATGACAATGAACTTTCATATCAAACCCAACCATGTTGTCATTCTTCAGCAATCTATTTATTTAAGGGTTCAATTTTTTTTAAACCCATTTTATTCCAGCATAATAATATAGGGATAAATCCCAAAACTACACACGAACTTCAATCCAATGGGCAATATAACACAGGAATTTTGATTTGTGCAATTGTATACATGAAACATTAATTTTGATTTGATTTGACATGCTACTAACACCATACCTACATGGTACAATTTTAAGTGTACAAATCAAAGTTTCATGTTCACATTGCACCAAATCAAAGTTCTCATATTACATTGCACATTGGATCAAATCTTGTGAAGTCTTGAAATTTATTTCAATAATATATGAAAATACTATTTAAAGCTAGGTAAGTTAGATCCTTCTTGAACCATGTAATCATTATAACCTCATACCTAGCATCCTAGCCCACAAATTAGTTAATCTCTGAGTCCTTTTATAAACTGTTATGTGATAAATCAGAAGTACCTGATTAATATTTTGAGCCTTCAGTCTCCCAACAACAAGATGCTCCAAAACCATTTTCTTCTTAGTCATCTGCATCATTCTTTCTTCAATGGATCCTCGAGTTATGAGCCGATAAATCATCACCTATAACACAAATACTCTTCATAAGAAACAGTAAAAGAGAGAGAAAATGGCTTGCCTTATAGAAATCAAGGAATCAACTTGAACCTTATTCGTTTGGCCAAGTCGATGAGCTCTAGCCATTGCTTGTAAATCAGCATGCGGATTCCAATCACTGTAGAGGCAAGACCCACATTTTGACTTTTCAATTGAACAAAAACCAAAGGGAGCATGTAATATACCTAAACCTTAAAATATTATATGAACAAATAAGCAAACTGAAAGTCACCAAAAGAAACCTAATATTTCGTGATCATTCGCTCTACAATACGAAACCTAATATTCTGTCACATGGTATTGTAAGGGCAATATCAGGTTTCTGGTTCTTGATCATTCGAGCTATGCGTCTTGCATTCACAACACAATATGCAATTTACTGAGTTGCTAAGACTTTTACATTAAATTTGAGAATCAAGTCCTTCCATCTTCGCAGACTGTCTTTATCCATCATCTATGATAACACTTCCTTACTGTTTCTTTATGCTCTAATCCCAATTCCTAGACAAAAAGTTAATCTTACCTAGCAGTCAAGATTTATCCTACTTAAATAAAGTATAAAAATAAACCAATGAACAATTATGGAAGAATGCATTTCAATTATATAAACCCACAACAACAAAAAAATAAAAAAGCAGGAACAGAAAACAGAAAGGATATATAAGAGGGTAATTGCTTGACCTATCATAAATGATGACCGTATCTGCAGTCGCGAGATTTATACCCAAGCCACCAGCTCTAGTAGAAAGCAAAAAGCAAAACCGGGAAGAATTTTTGGCATTAAACCGATCTATGCGGATTCGCGAGATTTATAACCACCAGCTCTAGTAGAAAGCAAAAAGCAAAACCGGGAAGAATTTTTGGCATTAAACCGATCTATGCGGATCTGCCTCTCAGCTCCACCAACCTTTCCATCTATACGTTCATATTGCCATTCTGAAAATATATAGGGGCACCAATAATCAGTAAACTTCCTCATTTGTCAGCGAGCCAACAATTTAACCATAAAATCTTCATGCTAATGCAAATAATACCTTGTAAGTACAGTAATCCTCCAATAGTCCAACATGTGCTGGAATTGTGAATATATAAGAACTCTATGTCCTGCTCTTAAGCTTTTATCATCATCTGTCCAACAGTTTGCAATTTCCCAGAAGATTCCAGGAACAGTCTGTAAAGCCATAAAGAAAAAGGTAAAAGCAGAAGATGGAGACATTTACTGGATCAGTACAAAATTCAGAAGAATAGTTTCAATAGTAGAAGATGAAGAAAAATGACAAAAATTATGATAATAAAAAGAAACTTTAGCAAAAAGCAAACATATGTGTTACTTGTGAGCTTCTTTTGCATCTTCGATAACTGGTTCAAACCACTTCTAAACATATAAGGATGACAGCATAGCTTCCGCAACTCCATAACCACATTGATTAGAGATATAATCCAGGACAAAAACTAATGTCAGCTAACTAGTTGGGCAACCCGCCCTGCAACAAATGTATGCAAGAAGAGAAGTTTATTACTTGTGCACCACCACGTCGGGTAAGTATTGATAATTACGAGTCAAAATCGCCTTGTAATATTCTTTCTGTTTGCTACTTAAATCAACGCGTAAAATGAGTTCTTTTTGGAGGAAGTTTCTTCATGACATCCTTCTTCACCCCTGCATTCATAAATAACAGTACCCACTATTTCAGCAAACGGTAAATACCCAAAATATTTTTTTGATAGGAAGTAGCCTCATTAAAACCTCCCTCTTAGTTGACTCTAAAAGGAGCAACTAGCGGAAGGAGGAAAGAGTGCCTCAATTTTATATAGAAAACTAGTACATTAAATTACACCAATACACTTAGGACAGCAGATTAAACAAAAACCATTAAAGCTCTCTAGAAAAATACCCCTTACAATCAACCGATCCCCTCCTTAGCTAATTTATTATATATAAAACTAGTACATTAAATTACACCAATACACTTAGGATAGCAGATTAAACAAAAACCATTAAAGCTCTCTAGAAAAATACCCTTACAATCAACCGATCCCCTCCTTAGCTAATTTATCAACCTCCCAATTACAGCCCCAAGGTATCAATCTAATAATAACCGCCCTCTCTAATACTAAGGACACAATATCCATAGCAAGGGAACTGAAGAAGTCGGAGCAGAATTAGGCACAAAATCCATCTATTACAGATTTAGTCACTCTCTAAAATCAGTCTTCCCTTCAAAGCCAATCTGATGATAGAAAAATGTCAATGCCTTTTTTAATAGCTTTCAACTCCTGTTTGCAAGAGAGGGGTCCCCTACCAACAAATCAACTTGTTTTGAACATGGGGGAACTTAGCTAGAAACCATTTAGCCAACCTAATCTGATTATGAAGAAGAGAGAGGTTATATCAAGACTCATATATAAAAACAATTGATTCCTTGCTTTCCCAAATAGACCAAAGAACTACTCCCGGGATGAATTTCCATATGTACGAATTAGCCCTTAATTCAAACCATTAACTTAGCAAATATGTGGATCAGAGGCAAAGTTGATATGTCCCACAACCTGAAAATATGTTCCAAAGATCCCCTGCAACTGAACAGGAGATGAAAAGATGTTGGATTGTTCCTCGTTCTTTTGACAAAGTGGCCACAGAATGTCTTCCAAAGGAACCCCCCTTTTCCTCAGCTCCATTTGACTGTCAATTTTTGGTGTGAGACTTGCCAAAGAAAGGTTTCCACTCTTGGAGGAGCCAAACCTGACCAAACCCATTTTTCCAGTAAAAAACAAACTCCAAGATTATTTGTAGTGCCAACCTGCAGGATTTCACCGAGAACAGACCATCCCCCTTCCCAGACCAAGAAAAGAAGTCCTCCATTGAATCAGTTAAATCAAACAATTTAGTGTTGACATTAATTCGACCCATTGGTTCAATTCCCAATCAAATAAGTTCCTTCTAGTTTGAACATTCCACCCAACCATTTAAATCGAAGCTATCAAAATCAGCCACCTTACCCCTTTTATTATTTGATAATGCAAAGATCTTGGGAAATTGAATTTTCAAGGGTGTCATTGACCCAAACATCATTCCAGAACGAAATATACTTGCCATTTCCCAATTGAGTCCTAGTATGAGACCTCAAACATCCTCCAATATCATCATTTTTCAAATAATTGTTCACAATTCCTTTCCAAATCCATGAATCTTGAGATGAAACTACATTGCTAATTGACAGGGATAAGTTGCTAACGTTGTGTTGCTGCACATCATCTTTTTCCATAGGGATTCTTTTTCATTTGCAAATTTCCACACCCATTTATCCAACAAAGCTCTAATAGTGATGTTCAAATCCAAAATTCTCAAGTCTTCCAAAGGTTTACAAACTGACTGCCAATAACCCAGTGAATACGACTTTATTGATCCTTCCCCCCAAAGAAAGTTAGCCATCAATGAATTAACCTTCTGCCTAACTTTGAACGACATTTTAAAAATAGACAGGAAAAAATCGGTAGCGACGATACCACCGATTTTAGAAGCACCAATCTGCCCGCCATTGATAATGAAGAGGCTTTCCAACCAGCTAATTTCTTATTAAAATTCTGTAAAAACTGGATCCCAAGAATTCAGAATTTTCTTTGCACCTAAAGGTAGGCCAAGATACTCCGTAGGAAAGGAGCCCACTGAGCAGCCAAATAGCATAAATACACAAAATATGGATTCGAGAAATATAGCTTTAGCAAGTCTACACGAATAAAAATACTCTCCCTATAAACCAAAGCCACTGAAGGGGCAAAAAAAAAAGAAGAAGATTGAAGAAGAAAGCCAAAGAAAAATAGCCTGCGTTGCTTTATGGGAACAGTTGAACAAACAAAAATTGTTGTCCACAGGATATGAGGGTATTGAAGTCAAAGCCTTTAGAAGTACTACATTCTTTGCATAAGTTAGAAAAAGAAGCAAATAAACAAGACAATAGTGCAAATGATCCTGTGTAAAAGCTTAAGATACATACTTCTAAGGAGATGTGGGACAACATGTATGAAGCCTTGAAATCTGCTCCTCCTGACTAATATCCTTAAATTCCTCTTGGAACTCTTCTAACTTCCGAACTACATATACGTGAACCAGAAAAATTCTTTAGAAAATGCTAAAAAAACTTTAAAATCTTTCAGGAACTTTAATAAAAATCCATATTCCATATAACTAAATGATACTGACCTTTCCAGCATCTAGAAAGTGCATTAGCATGAAAAGTTCATCCAGATGTTCTAGAATCAAACAAATGTCCACGAGTAAGTCATAAATCAAAATATCATATATAAAATGTGTGCATGTAAATTCTGAGATAATCACAAAAAATAGAGAAAGAAGAAAAACACAAAACAAAAAGACTGAAATAATGATAAAGGTTAAGAATCAGCAACGAAAAGCCAGAACTAGAACAAACTTAGTAAGCTTCCTGCATCCTTATGAGAGAATTATGGGCCAGAATATAAACAGAAACAAAGTCATTCAAGGAACCGCTTAATATGAACCTTTATTGTAAACAATCTTTCACTTCATTTGGAAAGTACAAGGTTCTTCAGACATATTTTAAGTTCAATGGTTAGCAACTCCTACTTACAATTTACAAAAGAGAAGACTGACTTTATTTCTTAACCTTGGTTTTTAAGGGCGCAAGGCGCATCGAGACGCAAAAGGTCCCTAGAGCCTAGGCACAAGGCGCACGCCTTTCGTATGCAAGGCACACTGTGTGTACTATTATCTTAACATCAAACTTTTAAATTCATAAATTTTCTCATAAGAGTTTACTGGTTTTTAGGTTAGATGATAATCAGAAAATAGAAGAGATAAATAAAAGGCTAGGAGAGCAGCATTCATATTGAGACATTAAAAGATATTATATAGCAAAACATGGTATGAAAGGAATAACGTGCAAATAATTGTGCCACTAAGGTAAACATGTTTTTGATTCATTGAAAAATTTTAACAAATTTTAATGTTATTTGTGATAACTTTCAAGATCTCTAATGTAATACCAAAACAAAGAACAAACCTGAAGAGGGGTTCCAGTCAAAAGAGTGCGGTGGTAACTGGTATACTGTTTCAATGAAAGAAACAATTTTGAATCCTTATTCTTGAGCCGATGTCCTTCATCAACGATCTACACAGTGAATCATGTATGAGCAAAAACTCACTAAAAAAACCACTGAACAGACTCAGTGAGCTCCAAGATATACCATGCACTCCCATTTTATTGGCTTCAATGATGCTGTGTCCAAGTTAATCATCTCATATGACGTTAAAAGAACATCAAATTTTATCTTATCTCGTTTGCTTTCACTAACAATTTGGCCAGATTTTCTTTTTCTTGATCTTCTTATGACCCTTTTTAGGATGATAAAATTCATACTCCCTTATTACTGCACGAGCTTGGGAAGAACCTACATACATAACCTGCATCATACTATTCTTGATTAAAATAGCACATATAAGGAATCGTAATTGGTAATTTTATATTTTTCATGTACATACAACATTCATTTGGGGAGCCCATGTTGCAAACTCCCGTTCCCAATTCCGTAATGTTGAAAGAGGTGCTACTACCAAATGAGGAGCAATCTTCTCTTCAAAAAGAGATGCTAAGAAAGCAATACTCTGGATCGTTTTACCTACAAGCAAACAAGACAAAGCATTTGAAACCCATTATATAAGATATAAGCTAAAAGTCCTTCAAAAAGCAATCTGCTTGCAAACAGGACTTACCAAGGCCCATTTCATCGGCAAGAATTACATGTGTTTGTTTGGACCAAGAAAAACGCAAGAAGTTCAATCCTTCAAGCTGGTAAGGGTGCAATGTGCCTAGATTGTAATTAAAATGATTTTAGTAATTAATAATAACCGACTGTGTGACATACTCAGACAAGTGCAAGATTACAGAGAAAAAGAAATGGAATGTACCTCCAGAAAGAAACTCGGGACTATGTTCACACTGCTGAAATTCCTTTGATTTTTTCTTGCACTCAACAGCATCTTGAAGGCTGCTTTTTTGCTGACTAGCAGATTTACGAGATCTGGACCTAATTTTATTAAATCTCTCAATTTCAGGTTGAAATGCAGATATGTCTGATTCAACCTCCCAATAACATTCATCATAAGGAAGTTCTTTATATATTTAACAAGGTATTCCTTCTCATCCTCACCTCCCCTGAAGAAGTCAGTATCCATAACAGACATTCCAATGATACATTAGCTACTGAACCAGAAACAAAGCTTAAAGCATGGCACAAAAACACCAAGCCAGATTCACAAACAGTAAAGTAAATAAATATCCAGAACAGATGAACATGTGCATGAAGATGATTATTGAAATCAGATGACCAAAATCAAGGACAAAGAACTACGATATACATGTATAACATGCATATGCCTCACATAAGTGAAATCAGATGACCAAAATCAAGGACAAAGAACTACGATATACATGTATAACATGCATATGCCTGTACACATAAGAAAATGTTATTAGATAGGTGAACCTGCAAGCAAGAATTCGATCAACTGTAGTCCACTCAGGTCTAATGGCAACAAAGTCATCTTCGGAGATATTCTTTGATGCCATTTGTCTATGGAAGTTGTTCACCTTTGTCCTTAAACGAGGATTGGACTTGAAAGCTTTTAGGAACTCCTTCTCAGGTACCCTAACATCACCATGATATAGTTAATGTTCGCTACAAACAATATATAAACGTAATTAATCTGAAAATTACCAAGTGCAATGCAAATAGATAACCCCTTCCACTTTACAAGATACTGTTTCACAAATATTTGCTTTGAACCCGTATTGGAAGCATCATTATCATCAGCCACAGTAGGACGCATTTCGCAATCCAATATCTTGTCAATGTCATTCAGAGGGCTAACCTGCAAGCAAAATAAGGTAACTCTAAGCTGCTGTGAACGGTTCACAGAAGTCCAATATATAGAGGTAGTAACAATATCAGAAAGCACTATTTAATCATACGCATTCAGGGCATCTCCAGTTGTCATGAAGAGAAGGAGCTTTCAATGGAGGAAGTAAGCACTTCGGATGATATGCATAAGTACATGTGGCACAACTCAAGAGATTCTCAGTCTCCCCACAGGCTTGACAGGAGTTTTCTTTCTGTGATTTTAATCATTAAAATGGTAAATGGGTAGTAAAACAAATTACAAAGAACCGTTTCAATGTTCCATATCTATAAAAAAAATTATAAGAATTGGAGGTCTAATTAAAAAAACCCCTTCATAATTGCTAAAACACCCGGAAGTATTTTAGCAAAAAGCGGAAGGAGGAAAAGAGTACCTCAAAGTTTATTATTTATCAATACAGGGGTCTTAATACATCAACGTTCCTTACTAACATACATTCTGACTCAAACTCTGTTATAAATTTGAACGAACAAAAACATAAATTAAAGAGAGTAACGGAATGCCAACATTGTTTTATGCAAGGAATCAGCACTTTTCACAACAGAAAGACTGAATTTCCACAACATAGACTAGATGAAGATTAAATCTGATTAAATACGGACAGGAAGAAAAGCTATCCAAATTAGAGGTAATTCTTTTACTGGAAACATAAAAACAAATATCACAAATAAAAAGTGGCTGACCGCATCATCTCTGACAATCTTTTCTAACTTCTCCTCATTTTTACGAGATCTTCCAGACACAAAATCTGCATCATCATCTGATTCATCCAAATTGTAAATTGGCTTTCGTTCTGATCTAACCCGGAGCCTCTCAGCCAAGCTACTCATCTTCTGCAAGAAACAAAAATCCATGTAATTTGAAGACTAAGTACCAAAACTACAATTCACTTGCATAACCTGTGCACAGCTGTTGAATGAATTAAACAATAAAAACAGGAATTACCAAAATTCATAAGAAAACATCAACACGGTGCAAAACCAAAACCTAGGGCTTGTTCAAAATCTGCAGAAGAGATTGAAGAATTGTAGTCTTTTCTCCCCTTTGTATTGTTGAGCCATTATAATATCAATTAATTAAAGCATATCTAAAACAACTATATTTACTTTGCAGCACCAAAGCTTATACAAGGTAACCAAAGCAAATCTAGGTCTATTAACAATAAAAAAATAGAACTTATTAAAGTTTATAAGAAATAGGAATAGATATAGCATTAAAGTCTAGCGTCAAACAGAAAATATTTGTTATTCCACCAGAGAAACCACTTTTAACCACAAACAATATGCCAGATAAGGCAAAACTGTGGTCAAAGATTCTGATTGCAATGAATTTGTACTCATTGCATAACCAGGTTCACCTTCTTTACATAAAATTTGCACCAAATTGAAACTTCCGATCATAATGCAAGGCCAACCTAAGCCTTGGTGTCACTTGAAGATCCTTTCTCTCATCATCTTACAAATACTTTTTAATCTCAGATGATCTTAATGACCAGAATCACTTTTCTTAATAATTATCAGATTGTAGTACCTAACAAGTAGCAGTCACCTTAGTAATTGCAAAAACCAAGAAGAAATGAAGAATAAGTTCCAAACTATCAAAGAAATAGCATGGTCTTCAAGAACTTTTTCAATCAGGTCACCATTAACAATTTAATTAATTTGGAATGAACTTTAAAGAGAGGCTACTTAAAAGAAATACCAGAAACGAAGTTAACATAAATGAAATAATAAAATTGTGAATTTTTATATTGAAGATATGTCAAAATTAAAAAGCAGAAAAAATAGATTACTGACATGTAATTAGAGTTTGATACTCAAATCTTTTACAAAATGGTTTCCAGCAAAAAATCTACTCTTCTGTTTGTGCCAAAGATTACTGATAATATGAAATCATGTCGACACAAAGAAGCGGGTTTTTAGATATATTTATGAAATGCCTTGGGGTCATGGGATCGAGTCCCACGGAAGGCATTTCATAATTCGGAGGTCTCCTACGGAAGCTGCTCTCAACCTGGCGTTGGGGGCAGCCTACTATCCTACCTCCCCCTTACCCCATTACATATGGGAATAAGGTCAGCTAATTATGAAATGCCAAGAAAAGACTAAACAAGTCCTCACATTATAATATGTGGGCACTGTGGAGGTGGTAATATCCACATGGCATTAAGCAACTAATACATCCAACTTGATTATATTCTTCAATGCATGAGATAACTATCTTAATCAGACTCGGCTCTTACTGTCCAAAATTGGTATACTCATGACAAGTGAGTTCAATTTTTTTTTCTATGGCTTTCCACGTATTTGGAGAATCATATCCCCATATTCATGTCCTGAAATGTGCCAGACATGGGTATTTCAAGAAAAATTAAGAGTCAGAGCAACATAGGGAGAGACATTCACTCGTAGCTACTGTCAAACCTACAGTTGCACTAGCAGCAACATGAAAAAAAAGTGCACATGCTAACATACTTGACACGAGAAACTTATTTCAATATAGATAAAGTTCCATAGGCTAAAAAGTGAAAAAAAAATTATCAAAGTGAGGGGAGAGATTACGAAGAAACACAGTTATCAATAAATTCAACCGACATTGATTTGAGCAGCATATTGGTTCTGTAAATCTACTTCTATATAGAAATTTTCTTCCCCAGCCTAAGTACCTACCATATATGGGGAAACTTCCAGCTAGAGAAAAACAAAAACATAAAAAAGACTGTGCACGAATTCATTTAAAATGTAAAACACGTGCGCACAATGAAATTGATAAAAAAGGAAAAATTGCTCCCCACCAACCCACATATAAAAGAAGGCAAACTACAAATTAAAATAAACAACCGATCATTTTGCTTGTCTCGGTGTTCATTTAATTAAAAGAGTTTCATGCATAAAATAGGCATGCATGTGAAATGAAAATGCAGCGAGCATACTTCATAAGTGTATGTCTCTTAATGGATCATGATTGCATAAGTTTGCGCAATTAGCACAGTCACCTATACGTGGCACAGGAAACACTGAATGATAAAATAACATACTACAGAGAGACGGAGGAAACGGTCAAGAAGAAAAATCACTCTGATCATGACAAGAAAACATTTGAGTCAATAAACCGGCATGGAGTTTAATTCAAAAGTGACAAGTACCCCCAAAAGACCCGTTTGGATAATGGCACAGTAAATAAACTCAGAACAGCAATCAAATGGACAGGAGAAAGTAGGAAAATATGCATCACGAAAACATCCAACAACACAGATTAACTCAGAACATTGAATCGACATTCGTAAATCTTGAAACTTTTATCAAAATATCCAGTCACCATACTGTACAGAATCTACAAAAGCGGGAAGAGAATGACAGGATTAAAGCTAAAAATTACCCTAGACGCTGAAACTTAATGCATAAGACATATTAACTAACATATCTACCATCAAGCAACTACAAACTAAAGGTTTTCATACATGTTCCTCAAACTGATGAATAACTTTGAATCAAATTTCGCTCCAAGCGCACGAAACAAAGGCATACAGTTACATATATAGATATTTTAATGAACAAAACAAATAAGAAAATACCTAATTATCAACCCTAAAAAAAGAACTACCAAGCTGACAAGCAAACAATGTACCAAAAATTAAACCAAAGCATATCTAAGTAAAAAATTCATAATAGAAACACAAAATTTCACACAAAAATAAACAATCCACACTTACAAACGCATGAAGTTAAAATCAAAACCTCATTTCCAGCATTCTTCGGCACTAGAATCAAATAACTGTGATATCAAAAAGTTTAAAAAATGTACGACATAGGTAGAAGCAAATTACCGATAATTAGGGATCTGAGCTCCCTTCAAGTACGTTGAAGTTGCTTCAGACCCAGAGCAGGAGAGACGATGGTGGACCGGGGCGGGGAGGAAAGTAGCGGAAAAAAATAAATAACCGATGCGGTGCAAATAAAAAATAATTAACATGAACCGCCGAGTTTTATTTTGTTTTTGAAGTGATGTAATTACTATGGGGTACATGATAATATGGATTATTAGATGGGCATTATTGTACTTTAATTACAATTTTACAGGCTGTAAATGACATTTAGGAGGATGCATTTGGATAAAATGACACGTTAGATTTAATTTTATGGTAATTAAGGGCAACAAATTTATTTGGGTATTATGGACTTTTCGTTTGAGGATTAATATATTAAATATTAAATAAAATGGGAATCTATATGTTTTATTTTTTAATAGAATTCCATATCAAATATTTTTCTAAAATGTTTAATTTTGTCACATAAATAACATTGACGACCGAACATATTTTATGTAAAATATATATCTTTTAAAATAATTTTAAAAAATTATATATTTATAAAATTAATTTAAGAAATGAATATAAGTATAAGGATAAATGATTTACATATAAATTCTCAAGTAATGATATCTATTAATTGAATTATTTTTTAATTTAATTAATGTCAAATTAGTTGTGTATTGATTATTAAATACATTTATAACGAAATAATTAATTAAACTGTTAAATTAATGAATTATGTATATCTTAACAACTTTAATATAATATGAGATTCTTATACGATGAGATTCTAATTCTTTTAATTTTAAATTATTTACATATAATAAATATATATTGTTGAAATTATAGATAAGATTCACTTCGATTAATATAGATGAAAATACATTGAATTGGTGATCGAAAAATTGTGAAATTATAAAATTAATCGAATACGTTAAAAGAACAACACCACATTACCAAGGAAAACAAGTTCCCTTTTATACATTCATCAGCCACTACTAAGTGAATTAGAGAAGTATGTACTAACGAGTCTTGTTGTGAATGATAATGTCAGTCATTTAATATTATAGGCATATAATGTAGGAGTTATGTGGTGTTGGAGGTATGTTATGTCACAGTTATGTAATGTCAAAATCAAATATTTGGATTACCTAACGATGATGAAGGTATCGTCCGAAATTGTTATTACACTACTGTGACACTAACAATAGTTTTCTAAATCTACTTGAAAATAAAATCATACAAATTTGTGTCCAATACAATATGATATAAATTTAGCCGTCAATGAAGAATGTAACTAAAATTTGTGATATGCCTACATGGAATGTAACTGAAACCATAAACACCTGCCTTCCATGCACATTGAAGAATCCACGATTTATTTGGTATGCAAAACAAACCATAAAAATACCTAAAGAGAAGATAACTCTCTTGGTTTTTGTACCCATACATAATTAATGTAGTAATTCAAGAAGAAGGGGTGTAAGAAAAATGCGCAAAAAGAGGATTATATTGTGTTTATTCTCATTCAGGCTTGAGTTATAATATGCAAGTAAACCTACTCATAATCTGTAAGAAAAATGGACAAAAAGATGCTTATATCGTCTCCACAGGGATTGGTGGGAATTTTTTATGATTGCTATAGCTAGTACAATGTATCACCAATTAGTCCTAAGATTCTTGTCTAATGGTATTCACAAAGGAAAAACAAGTATTAGCAAACAGATGGAAAAAGGTATGGCCGAGGCAAGAAAAATTGTAAAGTGAAGTAAGAAGAAAATTTTTGTCGTGGAGAGAAAAATATATGAAGGTAAACAAATAAAAGTTGTCGATGCAAAGAAAAATGTTTAATTCAACATATTCTGAAAAATCTCACACAATCAAACCTCTAATGGAACACTTGGGTTGGATTCACTACGGTAAGAAATTATTCTATGTCTAGGATGATTTAGTATGCTATGTCTATGTTGCCCGACAGGATTTACTAGAGTGTTCCTAGAACTTTTCTCTACGGCAATACTACCTAGCGTGAATTGCAGCCTTTGGTTTGTCAAATTGTTGTTGCGATAATACTATTCAGCGTAAAGTGTAGCTCTAGCCTATCTACTCAAGCATTTACCCTTCTTAGTCGAATTAAACCATCTCCTTATCTTTAAGGCAGATTAGAACCTCACTATCTCGGATTAGTTCCCTTGTTCACGTATATCTAACCTAACTCTTTCGAATATTAGGTATCAACTCCTAGAAAAATGACAATCTTTCAAAAGCTCTTACAAAGACTAGGAATGTTTTGTCGTGGCACCAGGCAATCTTTCAAAAGCTCTTACAGTGCCAAGGTGAAAGATTAAAACAGTGAACAATACAACATTCAACAAAAACATACTTAATCATTCATTAGCAATCGAATAAAGTATCATTCAAGTATTTCCAACAACAAATAAAACAATTTATGGTGTGGCAAACATCATCCCAAAAATAATCTTTAAACATAAGCCCTTAAATGATATGGAAATGAAGAACAAGAGGAAAAAAACTCCCAGAACAGAGCTATGCCGTGACATCATACCACCACCATGATTGCTCTAGCGGTCAGCCTCTCTCGAGGACCTGGCCGCTGCTCCGGTGAAGACTGGCTATGGAGGGCACCAAGGACGGTCGAGTGGGGGACGGTGGAAAAGGATGTGTTACAACCACCTTTCTTCAAGCCTTAATTTTAGGGTATTTTCTCCCCTCTCTTTTAGGGTGGTATAATGAGATATTTATAGTGGGGAATTTCTAGGGCTTACTACCTTTGGAAATTCCCTAAATACCCTTGGTTTCATGCCCATTGTATGAATAATATAGCGGCTGGTAGTGGTCCAAATTCCTTAGCAGGGGCATGGTTTCACGTGAGGTGTATTGGACAGCTGGCCAAGTGATGTCAGTAGTTTTGTCTTGTGTTGTGTCAGACTTGTGAGGTAAAAACTCACCTTGGCAAGAAAATTTGTTCCTCACTTTCGTCGTCTTTTGTTCCACTGGCCCTAGCAAATTAATTTGTCATGACAAATAAATTCTTCCTCGATCATTTCCTGCATCATCACAACCAACAAACAACCCTTCTCCTCATCAACATCAGTTTAGTCAAATAAACTTTGTCTTGGCAAAACTTATCCATAACATGCAAATATGTTCTAAATGCAACTATATGTAGTTAAAATGATATGCCAATGGATTTTAGACAATCAATAACTTAAGTAAAAAAACCTAAAATATGGTCTTTTTACGGAGTTTATCACACTCCCAAACTTAAGCTATTGCTTGTCCTTAAACAATGGATAATGAGTAGTAAAAACATAAAGTGTTAAGGCAAAGTATAAATTAGGACAATCAAGTGGTTTAAAATTTCAGCTCTTGGCAACAAGTTTGGCCTCAACATGCTAGATTGAATGAGAAATCAAGCACCTTTCCTTAGGTCAGGACTTTTTTTCAGTGTGTGTGTGTGATTGTATCTAGTTTATGCTTAACGAATTTAGAAAACTACTAAGTAAGTTCTTTTGTTTTGCCAAGGCATCAAATTATCCAATAAGCACATTTTCATTCTTGTTTATTCAATGTATAACTTCAATTTTTTACACTGCTTCAAAGGGAGTTAGCTCATTACACATATCGTCCCACACTCTGTGAAAAAGAGCATACCTTCCACCCCCGAGCTAGTCAGGAAGAGTCATCCCGTGACTGCTTTCATTCACTCATGTTCCAAGGATACCATTTATTTAAGGGGGTTTCCAATTAATGTCATTGCATAGAGGAGTGTCCCTCTACAGTTATGACGAGGCATTTATTTGTAATTTAACAAAATTCAAAATGCTAAGGAGTTCAACTTAATCTTTTCAATCATTTTATGCCACGGCGCGCAAAAGTTTTATCCTAAAAATTTTCATTGGAAATTAATTTGCTGTCAAAGTTGGTGCCCTCATCATTGATAATTGCTCTTGAAACTCCACAACGTATGAATATGTTTTTATGCAAGAATTTTAGCATGATCTTGGAGTTATTTCTAGGTGTTGCCACAGCCTCGACCCATTTGGATACATAGTCCAACTCTAAAATTAAGTACAGATCGCTGAATAATGATGGAAAGGGTCCCATAAAATCGATTCCCCATACATCAAAAAGTTTAACTTCCAAAATATTTTGCCATGGCATCTCATTTCTCTTCGATATATTCATGGCGCATTGGCAACAATCACATGACTTATAGAAGTCTTGTGAATCCTTGAATAAGGTGGGACAATAGAAGCCAGATTGGAGGACCTTTACAACAGTCCTCATCCCACCAAAGTGCCCTCCACACGGGGATGTATGGTAATGAAATATGATCTCTTTGTGTTCTTTATTTGGGGATGTACCTCTAGATTATTTGATATCCACATTGCTTGAATAAGAATGGTTCATCCCAATAATAACGGCATACATTATGTCTGAACATTTTTCGGCCATGGTAAGATAAATATGGAGGCATAATACCACTAACAAGAAAGTTAACTATGTCAGCATACCACGACATTGCTGCGGCAAATAAAATTTTCTCGTTAGAGAATTCCTCCTAAATTTCTTTCATGTTATGACATATGTTTTTTGTTCTCTAGTCTAGACAAGTGATCTACTACTTGGTTCTCGGTACCCTTCCTATCTTTCACCTCTAAATCAAATTCTTGTAGCAAGAGTATTCATCTAATAAGACTAGGCTTCGCATCCTTTTTATTCACTAGGTATTTAATGGTTGAGTGGTCAGTGTGTACAATGACCTTAGTGCCTATAAGGTAAACTTATCAAAAGTGAATACTAGGATAAGCAATTCTTTTTCAATGGTATAGTTGAGTTTTGCATCATTTAGGGTACGACTAACATAATAAATGACATGAAAGATTTTACATTTTCATTGCCCGAGCACTGCCCCTACTATGTAGTCACTTGCGTCGTATATTAGCTCGAAAAGAGGTCTTAGTCAGGTGCAACAACAATTGGTGTCGAGGCAAGTTTTTTTTTCCAGATCTGTGAACGTGCTGAGACATTCATCATTGAACACGAATGGCTAATTTGTTGCAACAAAAGACATAAAGGCTTTGAAAAATCTTTGATGAAATGCCTATAGAATCATGCATACCCTAGGAAACTTATTATGCCCTTCACAGTGATGGGTGGAGGTAGATTCTCAATCAATTCCACCTTCGCTTTGTCAATCTCGATGTCGCGATGAGAAATTTTATGTCCCAACACAATTTATTTTGTCACTATAAAGTGATATTTCTCCCACTTTAGCACAAGCTTGGACTCCTCACAATGCTTCAACACTTTAGATAAATTGTCGGGGCATTGATTAAATTCATCGCCCAAGATGAAAAAAATCATCCATGAATATTTCCAAGAAGCCCTCCACCATGTCTAAGAAAATGGCTATCATACACCTCTGAAAAAGCTATCGGGGCATTGCATAATCCGAGAGGCATCCTCCTAAAGCCATAGGTACCATATGGGAAGGTGAAGGTGGTCTTATCATGATCTTCAGGTGCTATGGCAATCTGATTATACCAGAATATCTGTTGAGAAAACAATAAAATGCCTTGCCCGCCAAACGATCAAGCATTTGATCGATGAAAAGAAGAAATGGTCATTCTTCGTCACCTTGTTTAGTTTTTTATAGTCCATACAAATCTTCCACCCTGTGATGGTTCTCATTGTCAAAAGCTCATCATTTTCATTCTTTACCATGGTCACGCCACCCTTCTTCAACACGCATTAAATTGGGTTGACCCAAGAGTTATCGGATATGAGATATATCACTCTAACATCTAGTCATTTGATGATTTTTTTCATCACCACTTTCTTTATTATCGGGTTAAGTCTACTTTGGGGATCGATAGAATTTCCATGGCAGTTATCTAACTGGATCTTGTGCATGCATATTGTAGGGTTGATTCCATTCAAGTCTGTCATAGTCCACCTGAGAGCTTTTTTATGCTATGACAAAACATTCAATAAATTACCCTCTTGCTCGGGGGTTAGACTACCAGAAATTCAAACTGGTAAAGTATCATCACTACCTAGGTAAGCATATTTCAAATATGATGAAAAATGTTTAAGTTCCAAGGTAGGTGCATGTTGGAGTGAAGGTTTTGGAGGAATGGATTCATTGAAATCAAGGGGTTCAAATATCATACATGATCTAGCTTGAAGTAAGCTAGACTGTTCCAGATCCAATGAAAAATCCTCAAACTCTGCATTTGCTCTATCTTTAGTATGTCTGCCATTTGCCTCAATCAAAAATATTTTGCCTAGGTAAATATTTTTGTATGTCTCATTCTGAGAATATTAGCATGTGCCAAAATTATTGTATCCCTCTGGCTGTAAAATATCATCGTGGCAATTTTTTTTACATTCCTTCATCTGAAAAATATTATATTGGTAAAAGTGTCATACTCGTTTGATGTAAAAATTTGCCTTAGCCAAATTTTTGTTCCAGCTTCCTTCATTGACTCCATGTCTCCAATGCAATGGTATTCTTCTAAATCATCAATATATTTGAGAGTGTTGAAGACATTGAGTGTAACGCTTTGATCAGCCACTCTAATCGTGAACTCTCCCTTCTTACAATCTATTAAGATACGCCCAGTGGCTAAAAAGGGATGCCCAAGAATAATAGGTGCATTTTCATCGGCCTCACAGTCCAGAATGAGGAAGTCTACTGGAAAAACAAATTTGTCCACTTTCACGATGACATCTTAAATTTTTCCCTCAGGACGAACATGTGATTAGTCAACTAGTTGCAAAATCACGGTGGTTGGTCGAGAAGTACCATTCCAAGCTTAAAAAATATGGACTTGGGCATCAGATTTACGCTGGATCCCAAGTCACATAGGGATCTTCCAACATAATTCTCAACGATGGAACATGGTGTAACAAAACTTCCAGGATCTCTTTGTTTCGGCGAAAGTTTACTTAGTGCAAAACAATATTCTTTCAACCATGGTAACATTTTCTAGTCTTTCCACCTTTCTCTTTTTAGTGACAATATCATTCAAGAATTTGGCATAGGAAGGTATATGCTCAACGACTTCGAGCAGTGGAACATTGGTATACAACTTATTAAGGACATCAATAAACTTTTTGAACTAGACCTCGTTATTATGCTTCTCCAACCATTGAGGGAAGAGTGGTGGGGGCCTGACTTCATCTGCTGCAAGTTGGGGTGAAATTTTTTCCTTGGTAATAAATTTTCCACCATCAGTAGGGTGACTTGTTGAACCTTCATCCTTTTCCTTCTCCTCAGACAAATCTTCTTGTTCAGCTTGACCTTCAGATTCTTCATGTGTAATACCCTGGCAATAAATTTCTTGCTTCCCCCTAAACTTATCATCAAGATTAATCTGGGTGCTACTCCTCGGTGTCACGAGGGAGGCTTCCTTAAGGGTGAGAATGTAATGTCATGGTAATTTGGCCCACTTGGTTCTCTAACGCTCTCGAAGATGAGTTATGGCTTTGCAATAAAGTTGTTTGGATTTGCAATAGATTGCCTTGGTTCTTGATTGTTGACGAGTGTTCATGAATCAAGGCCTTTGTTGAAGCCATGAAATCTTTTTTCGAGGCCATAAATTCTTGCAGTGAAGCTTCGAGTGAATTATAATTTGAGGAAGATGTTGAACCTTTGTTAATATTTTGCCAAGGCATCTATTGATGCTAAAAACTTGAAGGTTCATAAACATTTTGTTGTGGCCTATTAAAGTTGTATGCATTGTTGTTGTTGTTCCTTTGATTACCCCAAGAAAAATATGGATGTTTTCGCCATCCAGGATTGCAGGTATTAGAGTAGGGTTGTTGTTGCTATATTAAAATTGCTCACAAAATTGATGGACTCCTGATTTTTCTGGGCACTCACTCTCATGATGGTTTCCGCGGAAAAGAATGCATATTGAGCTAGTTGCATTGGCTTCCTTCACCTTATTGAAACGCTGCATATTTTTCAACATATTTGTTATGACAGAAAGTTGGGCAGAAACTTGATCCTTACTGTCAAGTTCATATGCCCCAGATACTTTGTTTCAAGTTCCAAGCCTTATAGATGGGAATTAATAATCATTGTTGGTTATCCTATCAAGGGCATCAATAGTTTCCTCAGGTGATTTGTCAAGAAGAGTACATTCATCGAGGCATCCAACATCATGAAAGTGGGTACATTGACTTATTATATAACATTACAACTTGAGTTCGGTGGAATCCATGGTTGGTGCACTTGCGAAGCAAACTTTTATATATGTCCCAATACTCATACATATATTCATCATCGCCTTGGCGAAAACTTACAATGTCATTGCGGAGCTAGGTGTTCATATTGGGCATTTTAAATCAAAGTATAAAATTTTTGCATAAGTCATCCCAAGATTCCATTAAGCTGAATGAGACTACCCAACCAAGCTCTTGCTCGATCTTGTAAAGAGTAGGGGAATAATTTTAACTTCAGCACATCCTCGTGCACACCTTGTTGCCTAAACGAATCACACACTTCAAGAAAAGTACGCACATGTTTCTAGCGTCTTTATTAGGCGAGCAACCAAATTGACCGATAGAATTGAGCGTATAAACATCACCGGTTGAGTTCAAACTGTGCTGAAATATTTTTCGAGGCCATAAATTCTTGCAGTGAAGCTTCGAGTGAATTATAATTTGAGGAAGATGTTGAACCTTTGTTAATATTTTGCCAAGGCATCTATTGATGCTAAAAACTTGAAGGTTCATAAACATTTTGTTGTGGCCTATTAAAGTTGTATGCATTGTTGTTGTTGTTCCTTTGATTACCCCAAGAAAAATATGGATGTTTTCGCCATCCAGGATTGCAGTTTAGAGTAGGGTTGTTGTTGCTATATTAAAATTGCTCACAAAATTGATGGACTCCTGATTTTCTGGGCACTCACTCTCATGATGGTTTCCGCGGAAAAGAATGCATATTGAGCTAGTTGCATTGGCTTCCTTCACCTTATTGAAACGCTGCATATTTTTCAACATATTTGTTATGACAGAAAGTTGGGCAGAAACTTGATCCTTACTGTCAAGTTCATATGCCCCAGATACTTTGTTTCAAGTACCAAGCCTTATAGATGGGAATTAATAATCATTGTTGGTTATCCTATCAAGGGCATCAATAGTTTCCTCAGGTGATTTGTCAAGAAGAGTACATTCATCGAGGCATCCAACATCATGCAAGTGGGTACATTGACTCTATTATATAACATTACAACTTGAGTTCAGTCGTGGAATCCATGGTTGGTGCACTTGCGAAGCAAACTTTTATATATGTCCCAATACTCATACATATATTCATCATCGCCTTGGCGAAAACTTACAATGTCATTGCGGAGCTAGGTGTTCATATTGGGCATTTTAAATCAAAGTATAAAATTTTTGCATAAGTCATCCCAAGATTCCATTAAGCTGAATGAGACTCTACCCAACCAAGCTCTTGCTCGATCTTGTAAAGAGTAGGGGAATAATTTTAACTTCAGCACATCCTCGTGCACACCTTGTTGCCTAAACGAATCACACACTTCAAGAAAAGTACGCACATGTTTCTAGCGTCTTTATTAGGCGAGCAACCAAATTGACCGATAGAATTGAGCGTATTAAACATCACCGGTTTGAGTTCAAACTGTGCTTCCAGAATTTTTGGTGCCACGATTCCAAGGTTGAGATCATCGAGAATGGGTTTAAATGATCTCTTATAGCTCTTGGTCTTGGTATATTATGGGAACATTATTTGTCAGGACATCGAGATCTGCGTGATCCTCCATAAGGTTATCAACCTGATATAACAGTTGATTTAGATTGCCTCTGGCATGTTGAGCATGTTTCCTTCATCTGAACAATTTCTCAATCTCAGGTTCGATGGGTATTAATGGTTCGTCAGCAGATCTCCTGGTCATGCAGTGAAAAAACCCACAAAAAAAAATAAGAAAAACAAACACTTAAACCTAACTAACTAAAAAACTTAACCAGAAAATAAAAATTCCTATGGAAAAAATTAATAAAATTCCTCCAGGTTCCAACCCCCGGCAACGAAACCAAAAACATGATCGCATGTACAAGTGTGTGTGTGGCATGTAATTCTGTGCAAGTAAACACAATCGAAACAAGTAATATAGTAGTAAGTGATTTATCGTCTCCATAGGGATTGGTGGGAATTTTTTATGTTTGCTATAGCTAGAATAGGTGTCACTAACTAGTCCTAAGATTTTGTCTAATGGTATTCAAAGGAAAAAACAAGTAGTGCAAACAGATGGAAAAAGGTATGGCCAAGGTAAGAAATATTGTAAAGTGAAGTGAACATAAAAGTTTTATCAAGGCGAGAAAAATATGCGAAGGTAAACAAATAAAAGTTGCTAAAGCAAAGAAAAATGTTTAGTTCATTATATTATGAAAAACCTCACACAATCAGATCTATAACAGAACACTTGGGTTGGATTCCCTACAATAAGAAATTATTCTATGTCTATGATGATTTAGTATACTATGCCTATGCTACCCGATAGGATTTACAAGAGTGTTCCTAGAACTTTTTCTACGATGATACTACCCAACGTGAACTACAACCCTTGGTTTGTTAAACTATTGCTGCGACAATTCCCCTCAGTGTTAACTATAGCTCTAGCCTATCTACTCAATAATTTACCATTCTTAGTTGAATAAAACTCTCTCATTATCTCTAAGGTAGATTAGACCAACACCATCTCGGATTAGTTCCCTTGTTCACGTAGATCTAACCTAACTCTTTCAAATATTAGGTATCAACTCCTAAAAAGATGACAATCTTTTAAAATCTCTTACAAATACTAGGAATGTTTTGCTTTGGCACCAGTCAATCTTTCAAAAGCTCTTACAGTGCCAAGGTAAGAGATCAAAACCGTGAACAAAAGTATCATTCAAGCATTTCCAACACCAAATAAAATAGTTTATGGTATGGCAAATATCATCCCAAAAATAATCTTTAAACACAAACCCTTAAATGATATGGAAATAAAGAACAAGAGGAAGAAAAACTCTTATAACAGAGCTCTGCCATGACATCAAACCACCACAATGACTGCTCTAGCAGCCAGCTTCTCTCGAGAGCCTGACCGCTGCTCCGGCCAAGCCTGGATATGAACGAAACTAAGGGCGGTCGAGTAGGGGACGGTAGAAAAGGATGTGATGCAACCACCTTTCTCCAAGCCTCACTTTTAGGGTATTTTTCCTCCTCTCCTTTAAGGTGGTATAATGAGATATTTATAGTGGAAATTTATAAGGTTTAGTGCCCTTGAAAATTCCCTAAATACCCTTGGTTTCATGTCCATTGTGTGAATAATATAACAGCTGGTAGTGGTCCCAAATTCCTTAGCAGGGGCATTGTTTCACGTGAGGTGTGTTGGATAGCTGGCCAAGTGATGTAAGTAGTTTTCTTGTGCTGCATCAGACTAGTGACATAAGAACTCACCTTGGCTAGATTCCTCACTGACGCCGTCTTTTGTTGCAGTAGCCCTAGAAAATTAATTTGTCTCAGCAAACAAATTCTTTCTCAGTCATTTTTTGCATTATCACAACCAACAAACAACCCTTCTCCTTGTAGCATTAGTTTAGTCAAATAAACTTTCCGTCGTCAAAACTTATCCACCACATGCAAATATGTCCTAAATGCAACTATATGCAGCTAAAATGCTACGTTAATGGCTTTTAAACAATCAATAACTTAAGTAAAAATTCCTAAAATTTATTATTTTTATAGAGTTATCACTGACAACATTGGGAGAAAGGTAACAATTTACCAAATTTAAGAAAAAAATTGGTGAAAGTGAATAATTTATTCCAAGTGGGAGTGTGAGTTCATCTCAACAACATGAAACAGATTCTGGTGTTCTAGCATACATACCTGAGTATGGAAAATCCTTAGCAAGTAGAGTTTATGAATCATCATGCACATGTCTACTTTCCCATTGAATCAACACATGATTTTGAGCATATGACATCTATGATGTCAAATATGACTATTTTTCATACTACGTTTCCAATAGTGATGGGAGAGCAGAGTGGTGGGCATACATTTTTAGGGAATGATGAGGATGACTACCACACTCCTGAGCAAGTGGAATGACCACAATGCACTCGATGTCCACGTAGATATTATTATTCCACAACACCCCGACATCGGCAAGAATTATAAACTCCATTGTTATTTGTACTTATTGTATAAAAGTTAATAAAAAATAAAAAATGGAAATTCATTACCCTGACTGAAACATAAGTAGGAAAAATAAAACATTCATTCATTCAAATAAATAGGAAATACATATATAATTACTAATTAGGCATATAACTTGGTAGATTTGGACATTTTTTTAAAAGACCTTCACCCCTACATAATCTACATATCTTTGGTTGA